AACTATATGCTATCTACTAGAAATATATTTTAGATTCAAAGACACTAATACGTAGAATGGAAAAAGATATATCATGCAAACAAAAACATAAAAGATCTAGAATAGTTATACTATTATCAGACAAAATAAATTCTAAAACAAAAAATATTACCAGAGATAAAGAGGAATATTTCATAATGACAAAAAGATCAATCCATCAAGAAGATATAACAGACACATATGCACCTAAAAACACAGTCCCAAAGTACATGCAGCAGAAATAATGGAATTAAAGACAGAAATAGACAATTCAACAGTTAATGGTTAAAAAAAATAATAATGGTTAACAACTTCAATACCCTACTTTCAATAATGGATAGAACAAATAGGCAGAAGAGCAACAAGGAAACTGAAGGCTTGAAAAATATTACGGACCAATTAGACCTAACAGACTATACCTACAGAACACTCCAACCAAAAGCAGCAGATAAGCATTATTCACAAGTACACATAGAACATTCTCCAGAGTAGACTGTATACTAAGCCATAAAATAAGACTCTAATTTTAAAAGGACTGAATATAAAACCTGTTCTCAAAACAGATAGATACAATTAATTTTTTTTTAAATGTAAGTAACAGAAGGAAGTTTGGGAAATTCAAAAATATGTAGAAATTAAACAACATACTCCTAATAACCAATACATCAAAGAAGAAACAAGGAAAAACTTTGAAATGAATAAAACGGAACATTCTACAACTTATGGAATGAATCTAAAGGAGTGCTCAAAGAGCAATTGATAGCTGTAAATGCCTACATTAAGAGAGAAAAACATTTCAATTCAGTAACCTAAACTTCCACCTTAAGAAACTGGAAGTAAAAAGGAAACTAAACCTGAAGCCAGCAGAAGGAAGGAAATAATAAAGATTGATAACTAATAATAATAAAGAGCAGAAATTAAAGACATAAAGAATAGAAAACAATAAAGAAAATCAGCAAAATCAATAGTTATTTGAAAGGATCAACAAAATTGAAAAACCTCTACCTAAATAACCAAATAAAAGAAGACTTAAATTGGTAAAATCAGGAATGAAAGAAGAGAATATGATTACCAATCTTATAGAAATAAAGAGAATTATGAAGAAATTCTATGAAAAACTGAATGCATGAAATAGATTACTTAGATGAAATGGACCAATTCCTAGAAAACACAAATTACCAAAACTGACTCAAGAAGAAATAGAAAATTTAAATAGATCTATAACGAATAAAGAATGCATTAGTAATTTTAAAACACCCCACAAAGAGAAGCCTAGGCCTAAATAGATTCACTAGTAAATTCCACTAAATGTTTAAAGAATTAATACCAATCCTTCACAATCTTTTCTAAAAAACAGATGAGGAGGAAAACAGTTCTGAGACCAATATTACACTGATACCAAAACCAGACAAATACACCACAAGAAAACTACAAACTAATATATCTCCTATCAATAAACACAAAAATCCTCCACAAAATACTAACAAATCAAATACAGCAATATATAAAAAAGATCATACAGTATGACCAAAAATCACAAACAAGCAAGAATGTCCACTGTCACTTCTCTTCAAATTGTACTAGTGATTCTAGCTAGGGAATTAGGCAAAAATAAATTTAAAAAATCCAGATTGGAAAGGAGTAAGATTATCTCTATTTGTAAGAGACATAATATCCTAAGGAATCCACTAAAAACTATTAGAATAAATGACATCCATAGGTTGCAGGATGCAAGATCAATATACAAAAATCAATTGGATTTCTCTACACTAGCAATGAACATTCTAAAAATGAAATAAAACAATTCCACTTACAACGACTTTAAAGAATAAAGTACTTAGGTATAAATTTAACAAAAGAAGTATACATTTTTGAAGAAAATTTTTTTTAATTTTAAAAAATAGAAAAATATCCCTTGTTCTTGGATGGCAACATTTCCCAAATTGATCTATACAGTCTCTGCAAACCCAATCTGAATTCCCAGCTGGTTTATTTGTAGAAACTGAAAGTTTATCCTAAAATTCATAAGAAAATGCAAGGATATCCACATGCAAAAGAATGATGGTGAACCCCTACTTCATACCTTATACAGAAATTAACTCAAAATAGACCACAGACCTAAATGTAAGAACTAAAACTATAACACTCTTAGAGAAAACCATAGGAGTAAATCTTCATGACCTTCTGTTAGACAAAGCCTTCTTTGATCCCAACACCAAAAGCACAGTGACAAAAGAAAAAAGTAGATAAATTAGACTTCATGCAAATTAAAAACTTTTGTGTTGCAAATGAAACCATCAAAAAAAAGAAATGACGAGTCTCAAAATGGAAGAAATACTTGTAAATCAAATATCTTAGAATGGACTTGAATCCAGAATTTTTAACACTCGACAAAAAAAGACAACGCAATTTTAAAATGGACAAAGGAATTGAATAGACCTTTCTCCAAAGAAGATATACGAATAACCAATAACCACATGAAAAGATACTCAACATCATTAGTCATTAGAAAAAGGCAAATCAAAACCATAATGACATATCACTTCACACCCACTAAGATGGCTATATTCAAAAAACAGATAACGATTGTCGGTGAGAATGTGAAGAAACTGAAATCCTCATACACTGGAAGATGTAAAATGGTGCAGTCACTTTGAAAAACAGTTGGGCAGTTTCTCAAAAGTTTAAACAAAGAATTACCCCATGACCTAGCAATTCTACTCCCAGGTATATACCTGAAAGAAATGATATCCACACAAAAACTTGGACACAAATATTCACCACAGCATTATTCATAATAACCAAAATACAGAAACAACCCAAATGTCCATCAACTGCTAAACAGAGAAACATTGACAAAAAAATGAAGTACAGATACATGCTATAACAGAGATGAAACTTGAAAATATTATGCTAAGTGAAAGAAGCCAGTAACAAAAGACCACAAAATATATGATTCCATTTATGTGACATGTCCAGGATAGGCAAATTCACAGAGACAAAGTCAATTAGTGGTTACCAAGGGATAAGAGGGGGAGAAATGGAGAGTGACTACTAATGGGTTTAAGTTTCTTTTTCAGGGTAATGAAATATTCTAAAATTAGATGGTGGTGATGGTTACACAATTCTGTGATTACACTAAATACCAGTGAATTATACATTTTAAAAGGGTAAAATTCAAGGTATGTGAATTCTATCTCGATAAAGCTATTATTAAAATTTTTTACTTGTGATCTCACTTATATGTGGAATCTAAAACAGCTGAACTCATAGAAGCAGAGAGTAGAATGGTGGTTTTCAGGGGCTGGGGGATGGGGAATATGAGATCTTAATCAAAGAATACAAACTTCCAGATGTAAGCGAAATAAGTTCCAGGGATCTGAGGTCATGGTGACTATAGTTAATAATACTGTATTGAATACTGGAAAGTTGCTCTGATAGATTTTAAATGTTCTCACCATAACAACAACAAAATGATAATTATGTGAAGAATGTGTTAACTAACCTTACTGGGTTAAACATTTCACAATATATACATGTATCCTAAAGTTACATGCCAATTATATCTCAATAAAATTGGAGAAGAGACATATCATCTGATATTATTTATATAAAGTTCAAAAACAGGCAGAATTAATTTGATATTAAAAGTCAGGATAGTGGTTACTTTTAGGTGGGAGACAGGAGGTAGTGAATGGGAGGAGGCACAAGGGAGCAAGCACATGGTGATAGCAATGTTCTATTTCTTAACCTTCGTAATGTTCACTTTGATACTTAGAGCTATATCATTATGATTTGTGCACTTTTCTGTATTTATACGTCAATTCAAAAAGTTATTTTGTAAAAGAAAAAAGATGGCTTTTGCTTAAAAAATTATATTTGACCATATGTAAAGATACTCTAGAATAAAGAGTAAATCTTCTCAAGGACATTTTTTTCTCTGATGTAATAAAAATCAATAATTTCCATAACTGCAAAAAATAAATTATTTTTAATATGAAAAGATAAATTAACTGTAACTGACAGTAGCAATAATAAACTTCACTAAGGATCAAAGTTAAAAGCAAAGTGGAAACTGCATGGGGTTTGGGTGAGATGGTCCTGGGCTTTTCTATGCCTAGGTAGTTGTTATTTAGAAACCTCATAAGAAATGAGAGAATGTGGAAAGTGCCTCCTTAGCACAGAAAAGACACTGTCTCCCAACTATTTCTTTACTTCCCGTCACGTGATTTCTTTTTTCAACTCAGTAACCCACACTACAGTGGGTAGATCTTCCACTTCTCAGATAGGGCAACGTCTTTCACTTACTCCAATTTCTCTTTTTTAGTTTATTTTGGCCTCAAGTCACCCATTCTAACACTGAAATAGAATCTCAATCAGCCCCACTACCATCTGACTGACCTAATTCCAAAACGGAATTTTTCTACCTTCCTACTGCAGCATACAGCCACCTAAAAGACATAAATTCTCTTTTCAACCACAATCTTTATCCCTGCTAAACAGGTCCCAAACATCTTTTTTATATTATTACCATATGTAAATCATTGATTTGTCTGCAAAATTATTTTTTACAGCTATTCAGATTTTACTGACAACTGAGTTTTAAAATAAACTATTATCCCTCCTAAAATTCATTATTAAAAATAAGTACTACCACTTTTGTTTGCTTTAATACATTATTAGCTTTAAATTTTTGGCCTATAAGACTCTAGTTAAAGATGTATAAATTAAACCTTTTTCTGTTTTCACTAATCACATATTTAATAGAGTAAATAAATGTGAGGCTTTGGTATAAGGAGCCCCTTTTCCTCTAGTCACGGAAAGGGAAAGATTCATTGTTATAAAAAGCCAATAGCTATTCTTTCAGGGAGGTACTGAGGGAAAAATTGTAAAGAGAACAGACTCACTAATACTGGCACTTAGGGCAAAAGGGAGGGATGAAAAGTGAAAATGGTTGGAAATAACTACAAAAATATACTTACAGCCTCAAAATGCAAATGGCTATCCTTTAAGAAATCTTGAATTTTGTCCTTGGGTAAAATACTGAATCGAAATCGAAGGAGATCCATTTCTTGTTGAATGAACCAGCGTCTAAGATCTTCACTGAAATGAAGACAGGAAAATTATACAGTATAAATGAAAAGTCCAATGTTTATTTTTAAAATCCACTGATTAGTAAATCCAAGAAGTTTCTACGAAACAATATTCAAACACAAGCAAAATGCCAATAGAAGGTAAACGCATATAAGTCCACTATAAATTCCACACACAATGTTCTAGGAATGTGCTGAACATGGGGAGAAAGATATTTAGACAATAAAATTAAAAGAACTAAATACAGACTATCGCAAGCCTAGTTGCATTATTATTTTAAATAATATAAAAAATAGTTCACTGCATTTACTACAACTGCAAAATAATCAATTCCATTAGAAAATGGGGTATTCCTTCTATCTAAGGTAGTTTCATCAATGCCAAATAAATTCAAATTCTTTAAAGGTAACTTTATCTCTAAATGGATTATAACCAGATAAACTTTGCAAAGCAACCTTTGCGTACAGCTTTATAATTTCATAAAATTTAATATGCACAGTATACTTCAATTTTTTAAAAGCCAACATACAAACATTGTATATTAATTTAAAAGACAGATATATAATGGGTATTGTTGTTATAAAATAATTATGCTACTGTATGTAAAATACGATTTAGGTTTTTTCTGAAGTGACTTTCACACTGTCAGCAATTCATTTATTGCAAAAATTACATTAACTACATATGCTTTTTAACAAAAGAAAATCTCTAGGACCAAAACTGGTCAATAATTTCTGTTATTATCTTGGGATAGCAAACAATTCAACATTCTCATCCAATAAGCCTATTAATATAAAAAGAAACAGAAACTTATAAGTATGTTATTAAACCAAAATTATTACAGAAAAAAAACACAGGGGTTTTAAAGAAAAAAAAGGCAACTAATTTCTTGTCCCTCTGGGTGGCACTATTGACTTATAAGAAACCAACGACCTAAGGAAAACATCTTAATCTAATGGACACTAGCCCATACAGCTCAACTTCTAAAAACCTGTATCAAATTCGAGTACGTATCTGATTAATTCTTACATAACTTATTTTTTAGAAAAAAAGTATCAAAAGTCTTTTTCCCTAATGAAATTCCCTCCAATTTTAAATCCCAAATGAAGAGTGTCTCCCATAAAATTCAAAAGTGTTTGAACAGGCAAAATTTGCAAAAGAATTTTTCCATTATTTTTTAGTAAACGACTTGTTTCAAACAATTCACTGCAACGGTATTCAACCCATGAACCACTAGTTTCTGATGTTCTTCTGAGTTTTCCTATGTTCAGTACAATACATGTTAGATTTCTATGTACCAATTTATAACCTAAGACAACAGATTTGACTGCAAGAGTATAAATGTATACTCACGACTGGCAATAAGCAAGGCGCAAAATAAAGTGAGAAATATGATCTCTTCTTCGTGGTTCATATTCATCTTCTAAGTTTTCCTTAAAGATGGTACACAAATAAAATAAATGCATTAGAATAATAAGAGGTGTAAAGAAATGCTGAGTCAGCAAGAGCCAGTGTAAAGTAAAAGTTTCAAAAACATAAATTTCATAATATGCTTTCCAGGATAGTTAACATTTTATTTCAGTTAGCAATTGGGTGAAACTGAGAACTGAACTCATCTCAGCAAAACCTCCTGGGTTGGGACCACACCATTTTCTTCCTATCAACTCCCCCTTTCTTAATTTTCCTTCTTACTCAACCTATACCAAGGGTACTCACCACTTCGACCACTTCTTACAACAACCCTCAACTTCTTGCTTTTCAACCTTCTGGCAAAACCTAGATTCTAAATTAATTTATAGCTATATTCTATAGATTATTTCCAAAATGCTGAGAATCTCTGGAGAAAAAAATACACAACTACGGGAATTTGGAATATTAAAAATTCACAGCCTCTAACCTCAGCTGGATCTTTACCAACACCAAGGAAACCTTATTCAAGTCTAAAATAGTAGAGCAAATGTATCTTGAACACTTATGAAGAGTACCAGGCACTGTTTTAAGCATTTTTAATCTATTAACCCATTTAATCATTTTTTAAAATTCCTATGAGGTAGGCACTACTATGTAACCCTATTTTAAAAATGAGGAAATCGATGCACAGGCAACTTACATAACTTGTCTAGGGTCACAAAACTTGTAAGCAGCAGCGCTCGTATTCGACACATAATCATCTCTTTGCTCACTTCCTAGAAAAGCTGTTTCAGTATGGTAGTTGACCCAAGCTCCCTACCATACCACCTTCCACTTCTCTCTCAGAAGATGACTTCACCTATCTTAAAGAAATAAAGGCCACCAGGCTGACTTCTTCAGCTCCAAGCTTCTATGACCACATGCTTTGTTGCCTTACCTCCCATCTCCATGGACAAAGCCTACACAAAGCTAATCTCTACACCTAAACCCTGCAACCCATCTGCTTCTGCCTCATAAGGACCTTGATTTATCAAATGCTCTCAAAGTTATCCTCAAGCTCCCCTCCTCTTCTTTCTCTTCTAGATCTTTCTGTTTAGCTTATAAACATGTATAACTATCTCTTGTCATATACGTGTGTGTACATACATATGTGTACTCTTTTCCCTACGATTTCCTCTATATTCAGCTCTATTTCTCCCCTGTCTTTTCAGCTAAACATCTTATAAGAATGCATATTCCACAACCACCTCTCCACCTCCCTCCTCCAACCACTGTCATCATTCAGGCTTTTACCTTTATCTACATAACTCAATGGATTCTGTATAACTCATCTTACATGATCCATCCTAAGCTTCTGAAACTATTATGGTTAACAGCATCACAACATTTTGGAGACAATACGCCCAGATTCGAATCTTGGCTCCACCATTTACTATTTCATGAATTTGGGCAAGTTACTTAGTCTATCTATAACTCAGTTTTCTCATCTGTAAAATAAGGATGATAATAGTACCTACTTCATAAGACTGCCTTCTGGATTCCATGGGTTAATATTATGAAATGCACTTAGAACCAACTTTGGGGCAGAGTAAGCATAATAAAAATGTTTGCCATTGTTATTCCTATAATATCACTATTAATATCATGACCATTATTATTGAAACTCCAGCCTTCCTTGTCTGCTGAAACACTATCATCCTGACTGATCTTCCTCTCAGGCAGTTTCTTCTCAATCTCCTTCCCAAATTCCTCCAACTCTACTTCACCTTAAATTTTCGTATTCCTCATATCCTGTCCTCCATCATCTTCTCTTCTCGAATATATTCCTACAGCTCTCACCCACTCCTGATGATTCTAACCTTCCTCTTAAATCTATACTTCCAGATGTCTAAGTCCAAACTTGTATGCATATACAATTGCCCACTAGCCATCTCTACAGGCACCTCAAATTCATATCTAAAACTAAACTCAACATCTTCCTTCTAACTGTTGCTTCTCCTCCTGTGTATCACATCTCAAAATATCACTACTATCCACCCAGAGATCCTAACTAGAAACCTGGACGTCATTCATACCTCTACTCTCTCCCTTTTCCCTGGAACCAATCACTAAAATCATTTGATTCTACCTTCTTAATATCTCCTCAATCAGTCTTCTTTTCTCCATTCAATTCATGTTCATCATTTCTAGGCTCCTAACTGGTTTTCCTCCTATTAGACACAAGCCTGTCAATCTGCTGTTCACAGCCATCTTCCCAAAATAAAATCTAATCACGTCCACCAAGATGCAATCTCCTCTCTGAAGCCTTCCCAAACCACCCCAATCTGAACTGGGTGATTATATGTGCTACTGGAGTTTCTGGAGCACACATCTAATAACAGCATTTATCATCCTGTATTGCACAGGGTACATGTGGCAATGTCTGGAAACATCTACTGGGTAGAAGCCAGGAATGCTGAGCATCCTACAATGCCCCGGACAGTCCTTGCAACAAGGAATTATGCCCAAAATGTTGACAGTCCCAAAGCTGAGAAACTCTATCTCAGTATTACAATCATCTGACTACATCAATCATTTCTAAGAGACTGTAAGTACCTTTAGGCAGAGTCTATGCTATATTAGTCTTTACAAAAGCCCTGTGCCTAATACAAGACCTTTCCCACAACGGATATTCAGTACATAAACATTACAAACTGATGGAATATTTCTTCCCTCTTTTACTTACTCTGAAGGAAAACTTGACCTTTCGAATCTCGGCCTCCAACTTACTCTGGTATAGCTCGGTTCCTTTCACATAGCTCACACCAAGATTTTCAACTACTTTTAGCACTAAAAAAATAATAACAGAAAGAAAAACGTATAAAGGCAAGATAATTTTTAAAACTAATCCAACACAAATAAAACCTATGAATAGCAATTCCATTGTTGCTTTTTATAAAAGATGACAAGTTGTAACAGTTTTACTTTCTGAAAGTACATTATATAAATTACATGTTTATAAGAGGATAATTTCCATTCGTGCACAGAAAATGTCAATGTTCCACAGCAAAATCTAATACCAGGGACTGTCAACTGGTATAGTATCCACCATACCAGAGTGATGGTGGATAATCACTGCCATACTGAGCCACTGTGGTTGAGGAATGGAAAAGGGTGTTGATATGGAAAAAAGATATGGAAAAGCACCCCTTGTTTGTATTCCTCATGTGGAACTGCCTGTTAGGCAGTCTGCTTCATTTACTCAGCACAGACTCATCAGAAAGATAGCCCTTCCTTTCTGATAAAGCATAGAAGGAGAAGACAATAGTGAAGAAGGGTTCTCCAATCGTCCAAATGAACCATCCTGAATAGATGCTACATCCAGCTTACAAGTTCCTAAAGCCCCCTGTCAATCTTTCCTTAGATGAATTCTCCTTCCAACAATATGAAAAGAGACATTTTTTTAATTCAAGAATAAAAAGCTTCTAAAATTAAACCTGAACTTAAACTCATGTCCCACAGGTACCTCCTTATTATCACATCCCAAAGCAAACTATTTTCCCCCCTAGTCTTGCTCCTCTTCTGGCTATCCCCCATCTCCACTAGCTTCAGCCACCCCCACCTGCTCCCTCACATCCAAAAAGACCAAATCTTATCAATAATACCTCCTTGGTATCCATTATATCTCTCCGGTTCCATCATTGCCACTGTCATTGCCTTAATTCAGACCCATTCAGTCTCTCTCTTTAAATGCAAAACCCAAAGGACATTTTTTAATCATATTAATTTCTATGAAGCATCTGACACTGCTAAGCTTCCTAAAACCCCTTTCTCCCTTGCCAACATTCTTTCGTTTGACAAACAGGTGCAGAGTACCCCCTTTTTCTATCAGCGGATCTCATCCTGCTCCTCTATGATCAAGTATCTCATCTCTTACGATTTTCCCACAAAGATATCCTGAAACATAAACTCTGAAGACAGTGCTATTATGTGTTTCAGATCATGCCAAGCTCATTTCTCTCTTCCACCAACAAACAGAGGATAAGAAGGCCCCCAGTACAGTTGCCATATCCTTCTTATACCCCATTATTACACCCTTAGCTTGGAACAAAATGTCCTTGGTTATCCATACTTCTCCATCTACCCTGAACTTGTTAACGTCTCCACAAATATGACATTCTCTCTCATGCCTTCAAGCCTTTGTACAGCCATTATCTCAGCCTGGAAAATCCCTTCACTTCTCTGTTGAGAAATTTCTGCTCATCCTTCACGGTCCAGATCACCTTTCAATTTCTCTAAGAAATCTTAATCAGACTAAGATAGTCACTCTCATCTCTACGTTTCAATAGCACTACTATTTATCCCTACTACAGCACTTAAAATACTAAGTCATGATTATTATTTTGGATGTCTGTTTCCATGTACTAGAATACAGCCTCATCAGAGAATTACATTATTCATCGCAAAATCCCTACCACCTAGAACACAGTGAACTCAATAAATATGCAGTGTATAATAAATGAATTGCAAACCCTCAATAAATATGTTGAATGAATTGTTTAATGAAGGAAATAAATTACCCACACTCATGCCCACAAAGTGAGGTTCTCAAGAATTTATAAATTCTAATTCAGATATCACTTACATTTAACTCTATCGATAGCCAAGTTTTCAAACTCTATCAAAGATATGTTTTCAGAAGGCGGCTGCAAGTAAAACTGGAGGCTATGAGGGTAGCACATATTCCTCTGATCACCTGCCAACTTCTGTTTCTTCCACCTTGCTCCGGAAAACTGCATCTTGTTACCTTTTCAGGAAATACATAAAAAGGGCTGAATTGATGGAAAGTGGAGCTGAAAACCTTAAACCAAAAAAGAAAAGCTCCACACGCACAGGGGGGGAAAAAAACCTGCAGTTGAAGGGCATGCACAAAACGTTAACAGTTGTTATCGCTGAGCGATGTCTTGCGGTATTTTCCAGATTTTCAACAATACACCTGTAACTACTTTGTAATTGGGGGCTGAGGGGAGAGGTGAGTGCTGGAGAAGACGCAGGTGATGATCCTAACATCCAGCAACAAGAAAGTCAGCTGAAGCTGCCTGCCCACTACTGGTCTGGGGCTACAGTCCCTAGATCTCTGTAATCCCAAGAGTTAAGGTGAGGTTCCATGCGGGCTGCAATTCTGAACTCGGAGGAAAGTGCAGTAAACTCCAGCTAATAAGAGACTTAATGAACCAGGTCGTTACTCACTTCCTAGTTTATGACACTGGGAAACAGAATGACACTGTCTTTCGAATCGGGTCTTTCTGAATGCCTTTTAGGGAGTATCCACAAGTTCCTTAGAAAACCTCCCACCTCCGATCCCACCCCAACTCTCCGGTGAAGTTGTCGCTACTCAACTCACTGACAACTGCATCTCTGCCCCAAACAAAAAAACTAATACTCCCGCCCCGCCAGATCAATCCTTCTGCTCCCACCGGCCGCAGAGTGCTCTCCCTTCTTTCTCGACTTGCAAGCCTCAACATCAGGATCACTGTCCGCCCTAAACCCGCAGGAGTTCCTCTTACCTACAACAGCACCAAACCCGAAAAGGTTCAGACGCCGACAGCCGGGATTCGCGAGTGGCGGGAGATTTCTCTTGAACCGGAAGCAGAAGTGGCGAAACACACGCCCCGCCCCCCTACAGCCCTCCCGGAGCGGACGCACCTGGGAACTTTCTGGGCGTGGAGTCGGTCGTTTATGCTGGTTGACACTGGGGTGCTGGAATGCTAGTGGCAAAATTTCCCACCCGCCGAAGAGTGTAGTACCAATAACTCTGTTTGGGGACGCTAACAAAGATTCTATAAGTTGAAAATGTGGCGCTTTAACCCAGAAGGCTGGCACTCGTCACTTTCGATCTGGAGAGGAACGGAGGAATAGGCATTCACTGAGCTCTGTTATTTCACTTGGCTCACTATTACCGGCCCTGTTCTTTCTTGGTTAATATTTCAGCGACCCGGTAAGGTAGGTTGTATAACCCTATTGTACAGGTGAGAAAACAGAAGCTAAAAGATCATCGTTAATTTGCCTATGTATGTACAATATGTATTTTGTTTTTTTGTGTTGGACGGCAGTCCCCATTAACGACAATCTACATTCAGTTAGTTCACTACCCGCCCCTACGCCTCGTGCATAGCAAGCGCCCAGCAGAATATCTGGTACGAACTAGACTAAATGAATGCACACACGCAGAAGTCGCTCTGGGCTCCACAGAAATAGAAGCGATCTGGCTCAGAGAGAAGTGGAAAGCGGTGGGAAGCAAGTGGATCTCGGACTGCAGACTGTCGGAATTGGCAGGTCAGAGCCGCAAGAGCTCTCGGACTGTGGAGGTCTGTAGGGTTTTCAAGTTGCTGGAAATAAATTTAATTTGTGGCCTCTAGGGGGTGTGTTTCGCTTACAAAAGTGGCCGAGGAAGGATCTAGTAAAGGTAGTCATTGGAGATGAAGAGCGCTTTGAAATGTTCACGTTTTTAGAAATGCAAAGTATATTGAAAAAATATCAAGCTTCAAAGCACCTACCCACAATAAAACAAACTGGCTGGCACTGACTTTATACCAGAACGTGTCCTAAGTGATTTACATATCAATTCATTTTATTTTCATAACCAATATGAGGTAAGTTCTATTATTAACCCATTTTATAGAGAAGGAAACTGTGGAACAGAGAAGGTAAGTGACTTCAAAGATCACACAGTAAGTGACAAAGCCAGGTTCAGAGAAACTGTCTCCAAGCACCATAGTGCTAACCATCACACTGTGCTAATTCCACTAATATGACAGCTGTGCTCCACCTTGATTCCTTCCTTTCTGTATCACACAGTTTACATCACTTGGTGCAAAGAAGGTATCTGAAAGCACGAAAATTGCCTGAAAAACCTGGAGCACAGACCATAAGAACATTTACGTGACTATCTGGTCTTTGGATAGGAAAGGAATTTAAATATAATTACAAAAGAAAACATTCTGAAGATTTGGCTCTAAAATCTCAAAAATTTTTGCGTCATCAAACTGGAGGAAAGTTTCACCATAAATATAATAACAAAAAGGCTAATACCATCAAGATGTAAAAAACTTAGATAAATTAGAAAAAATTCTAAGACAAGTTGAAAAATGGAAAAAGAACAGCAATGGATAACTCAGAAAATCATTAATGATAAAATCTGAAAAAATGTTTATCATTGGAGGCAATCAAAGAAATTTCCCCTACAAATTGGCAAAGATTGTACAGTGAAATAATGCTGGGTAAAGTGTAGTACAATAGGCTCACATAGGAACTGACTGTGGTGCTATAGTTCTGGAGTACAGTATAGCAATGTGTATTATGGTCCCTGAAAGAATTCATACAGTTTGACCAAATAATTTCACTTATATGAATCTGTCCAGAAATGGACACAAAAATTTGTGTTCAGGGAACTTCATTGCACCATCGTAAGTGAAAACCCAGAAAAAATAAATCGTAGTATATTCATACCATGGGACTTTATACAGCCTTTCAAAATATATGTTTTTGAAGAATACTGACCTGGGAAAATGCTCAGGCTACAGAGTGGAATACATAAAACCATATATGCTATATTACCCCAATTTTATAAAAACATTACTTAATTGACAAAAGTATTTTTAATTACTTTGTTCTAGTAAGTATAAGTAATATATACTCATTGTAGACATTTTTGAAAATATCAAAAGAGAAAATCCACCTACAATGCTGTTCTCTGCTGACACCATCACCCAGTGCTAGACACTATTAACATTTTGCTTCAAGCAATAAAATGGTTGAATGAGAACTAATATAAGATGGTCTTGCCATAGTATTACATTTTTCTGCGATGCTTCTGACTTGTACAAGGAGGCTGCCTTCTGTAACTCCTTCCATCCACATGTGCACCAATCCCTGTCTTCCTTTTGTTTTACAATCTGGGCAAGTGTTATTCATTGCAATCAGAATTTTAGGTGTAAGACAGCCCCTCTGAATTATACTGGTTTTCATTTAACATTTCTTCGCTTTATCCTCAGTCTGGTCTTAAATTGGCTCACCTTTAACTTGACTGTCAATGCCCCTTTCTCTGCAATATTTGATGTCCATTAAATATTTCTTTGGACAGTTAAAAAGAATAGTCTACTACAAACATAAAAATGCTTACATCAGTGGTAACTAAGACAATGGCAGTGAAGTAGAATATGAGCATTGATGGTATTTTTGAAGTTATATTTTAATCAACACTTGAAAGCTTCCCACAGCATGATCCCAAAATTTGATGACTTTATTGCCCACACACGCCCTCTAGCTTATGTTCTGAATTACCAGCTCTTCCCCCCAAAGAAAGCTTTGCGCTTCTCCTACCCTGCGTCTCTCTTTATCAAGGTCTCTCCAAGAGCCCTACTCCCTCCCTCCCGTTAGTCTCCTACCTATCCTTCCATCTTCAAATGCTGCCTTCTTCCCTCCTATTGAGGCTTTGCTTATGCCACCTGGGTTGCTCCTCATTTAAGCCCCCATGGTCTTTGTAATTCCCACAAACTATAATTCTTCCTCTAATTATATCCTTCTACTACAGAGGTTCTTAATCTTTTGGGAACATAAACCACTGGATGATTTAACATTTTTACTCATCAGAAATGTGCACTTACACTCCAACTTCGTACACAATTTCAAAAGGTTTGTGAACACACGTGCGGCTAGTTAAGAATACTAGCACTGCTAGCTTTTAAGCTCTTTATGCACAGGTCCATTTGTTTGTTTTTGTGATCCTTAAAGTGTCTACCATAGTATTTTTCCAAATTAAAAGCTGAAGTAATGTCATTTTACGAGCAACTCAGAACTGGAAAAATATGCTCTTGTTTAACATTACCAATATCTTACTAAACATGTCCCATAATAACTGCCTTTCATCATTTAAAAAATCTATTTTAAGCCTCAGAGAACAAAATAGCTTGTGTCTGTAAGCTATTCCAGCATCTTTATTGTTTTCTAATGCCAAAGTTTGGGTCACTACCTCACGGTAAAGGGGGTTCTCCATATCCAGAGACAATTACAGTCAGAATCTACATAGCATAGTACTAATCATGCACAATGTGATACATTTCAGTGGTCATATTTGATAAATCACTCAGCTCTTTATGCATCTATTTCATCAGCGAAAGTGGATTGACACAATGCTCAGCCCTGGCAATCAAGATGAATATAAATTACAAATCCCAACCTCACGATTGTAGGAAAACACATATAAACATATAACTTTTACTTCCCCATTGTGTTGTTCATCTTTGTAACCCCAGTTACAAAACCCCAGTCTGGCACTCCATGGGCCCTCAACAAATATTTATACAGAATTGATGTAAAATATGAGAGTTTACAACAAAAAGTGATGGGTTCAGCTTAACATTTGAACAGATGGTTTAAATCAAATGACTCTAAACTGTAAAACTTCAAGTCCTCATCTAAAAACTTTATACACATTCCTTCCAGAATGATGTGGCTCTCCAGTTTATCTTATAATAAAGCACAGAGTACCTTCTCAAATGGAATTTCCATGAATCATCACTGCTCAATTCAGTGCCTATTCTGGGCATAACCCAGCTGCAGACAGACAGTCCCACAGAGCATTCACCTTTAGATGACTCCACAGTTCCAGAGTTCTGTCTTGTAGTATGTCACAGCTGAGATTTAGTTGCCATACTTGGTAAATCAAAGTGAATGTTCATTCTCCCCCTGTGCAGGGTGTGTCACCCTAAAAACCAAAGGCGTGGTACATTTCTTTACCCAGTGAGGATGCCATAAATTTTAGGTCCTTCCAGCTCTTCTTGCCTTGGAAAGCGAAAGGACAGAAGGCATTTCCAGCAGGACAGCTGACCTGTAAAAGCTAGCCAACTTTAAAAAAAAAAAAGCTAACCAACAGTTACCAACTGCTGGTTTCTCCACCCTTTCCATTTCACTGCCCATCTCTGGGACATGGCTAGGGAAGGAATATTAAGGAGTGCCTTGCTATTCCTTCTTTTGCTTCAGATTGCTTTTATTAATCTAGCATCAAACAGAACTAGAGAAAAAAGTATATTTTTAAAGGAAAAAAAGGAGAAAAGGATGGCCCTTCCATATATCAACATTATGTGATTTGTTCCAGAAATACTAATTGAGCACCTACTAAGTGCCAGGCAATGTTTTCTATGCTGGGGATACAAGAGTAATTAAATAGCCCACAATCCCTGCCCTCATAAACCTTATGTTCTAGTGGGAAAGAGATAATAAACAAGTATACATATTACTATGTTAAATAATCATCGCTAGGCAGAAAAAATAAAGCAGAGGAAGATATAAAGATTTTGGAGGAAACATTGAAATGTTAGAAAGGGTGGTCAGGAAAGGCTGGCAAGAATATGACCATGAGAGACCAGAAGAAAATTAGGGATTTTGTAGTGTGTATCTTTAGGAGAATAGCAATTCAGGCACATGAAAGGTTTATCATAACTCCATAGGATATTGGTACTGGAATAAACAAATGAAGCAATGGAACAGATTGATAATTTTAACCACATTAAAATTAAGAACTTAAGTTTAAAAACCACGTAAAGACACATTTTTTAATGAGTCATGAATTGGGAAAAGAACGTTGTCAGATATAATTAACATAGGATTAGTATTAGAATATATTCAATAGGAAAAAG